GGGGGGGGGGGGGGACCGTGTGTCATCCCCCCTGTTTGTACGCCTTTTTGCGCTATACCTTTTCCCTATGAAAAAATATTTTCTCTCCAGTGCACCGCCTGGGCAAAGGAGAAACATTGGAAAAGAAGGTAACGCTTCAACAGCATAACGACAACGCCCAGCTCGACCAATCCACCGACAAACGGAGCACCAGTTTATCACGAAATGATGCAAATATGAAATTTATTCCAGACCAGTTACATACGCATTGTGGATATGCTGTCTGCAGCATCAGCTGTGCTCATTCAATCGTGTGAGAGGCACGCGTGGTTTCATCCATCGAGCAACCGTTTCCACGAACACCATTGCCGGTGGAATGTCGAAAGCAACACTACCTCGCGACTATGGAGAGAGGAGCGCTGAAAGCCCCGAAAGACGCCCTCCTGACTGGCGATTTTCAACAAGCTCTGACGAACAAAAAGCTTCGTCTCCGTACAAATGTACGCATCTTCCAAGAAGCTGCTCCGCAACACTGCCACAGACAGAAGGGCGAGGACAGCTAACAAAGCTTATGACATTACCCTCATGCTCCAAACCAGAACCTTCCATAACGCACAACATGAGGACGCAAACATACTTCAAGCTGTTGTGCCACATAATGGACCAAGAGTGCGAGGGCCAGCCAAAAGGCACTCTATTGCTCAAACATCCAAGTCCTACACCTGCTAATGTACTTTGCAGGACGGGTAGGGAGAACCCTTCTGTGTGACCATGGAGCTACAGTAGTAACTTCTACATACCCCGCAAAAGCGCTCTCAGCGCTGAAAAAACAAAACGACGGAAGAACAAAAAAAATTGGCGCTCCTACAGTTGTTGTCTTCACAATAAAAACCGATCCTCTCTCCGCTCAGTACCTTCTAATGTCCGCACTGGCCCACCTGACGCCTTCAGTGCTCACAAGCTAACTCCCCCAACAGCGGGCTACATAACCCGCCAGAAATGCTGTGAGCGTTGATTTTATAGCGATGAAAAACAAGAAAAAAAAAAAGGACACCTGGCTCACCATGACCACGCACAGGAGAGTCCGGACGGCCAGAAACATCCCCTCGTGGAGGCGATGGTTCTCGTACACCATGGTCATGAGCCAGTACACCTGGAACATCTTGGGCAGGCTCAGCAGGTAGGCTATCTCGTGGTTGCCGTCTGCGCTGCCCGGTCCTAGGCCGGGGACGAACGTGAAAGGGAGCGCCGCGAGCAGGTCCACGATCAGCGCGCCCTTGGCGTAGCGCTGGCCGATGGCCATTCTGGAGTAGACCACCTTTCGTAGTTCGTGGGAAGGGGGAGGAGGAGGACGAGGGGGTCAAGAGTAAACAGTGCAGCCAGGCTGTTCGTGTTCATCGAAGGAGGAGCGGCGGTGGCCGTAGCAGCAGCAGCAGCAGCAGCAGCGATGGACACACGACAATCACGCCGGAGAGCAACTACAGCTGCACACGTCAATAATAACCGAACAAGAAGCAGAGTGAAACGGCAGACAAGAGGACCCCACAAAACCAGGCGCCGCAGCAGCCGGGGATGCAGATAAAAAACCAAGAGCGTTCGTCACTGAAACAAGAAAAAGAAAAAGAAAAAAGCTCGCACCTTGCCGGTGGTGCCGTCGACGAAGCCGGTGTTGAGGTGGACTAGCACGTCGATGGCGAACAAGACGTGCCAAGCGAGGTCAATCCCGAACCAAGCCCCACTGCCACACAAGAGGAGACACATGTCGATCGACACATCAGCAGGTGCCGGAAGTCACTCTCATTCAACACGGAAGGAAGCCGTGAGAACAAGCCTGAATGCGGCGAGGAGGAAATGCTCTCAAGACCCCGATGTTCCGCGAAAAACCGCCTAAGACCGACGAGAGAGAGGTTGTCATATTTCCGTAGGTGTATGTGGCGCGTTTCGAGAAGAAAGAGAGATCGCGAGAGACCATGACCGCGGCAGCGTTCAGTAACAGTACGGCGCGAAACCTGTCGGGATGCTTGTCGAATTGCATGTCAAAGAAGCTACAGTAGCGAAACGACTGCCACCGCACGCGGGATTCATCGGGCCAAAGCGGCTATTGTTGCACCCACAGAAACATGTCTTGCTTGAGTCTTCTTTCCGGTGAACGACTCTTCCAACAGCAGTGTTCACAGTTTTCACGACCAGCAAATACAAAAAAACGCAATATGTAGCAGAGACAAAGGTAGGACTTCTTGTCAACAATGTATGCCTACACGACCACAAAACCCTCTCCCTCCCTCGTCTGTTCGACCAAGCAATCAAAAACAACAACTCCCTGGAGTCTTTATCTGTGACGAGAGACGGATTTGTTGCGTTCTTGTGAGGGATTAAAAAAAAGTTGACCTGTAACGAGCTGCCGTGGACTATGTATTATCTGTGGGCAGAGATGAATTTGTTTCCATAAGAACAACTAAATCTCCCCAGCGGCAATTCAACGTGCTGCCACCACCACTTACCGTTCCGAGGGGAAGAAGGCGATTCTGATGGGCATGTAGAACACGAAGGTGAGCAGCGCGACAAGCATGAAGGTCGCGTACCACCGTAGGAAGCGGAAGTTGGGCGAGAACAGCTTCGTGCCCACCCTCTCCGAGTCGTTGTCGAATGCGTCGTAGTCCGCCTCCGAATCGGAGAGCATGGCCTCGTCAGCCTCCGTCAACTGGGAAACATGTACATATTAAATGTTTGTTGTGTGGGGGGGGGGCAGAGCACTGCTCTTTTTCAGGAAGCCTATGTCAAAGTCACAAAAAGACTACCACTTCGATATAACCACGCGGTAGAAGGGGGTGCGCTGTAGTGTTCACCGTGAGTAGAAGAAAACCCGCCTGGATACTGGGCATATTTGAATGTTTAACCTACATAACCCTTGTTCGTAGTGCATCACCCAGAGCTTTGTAGTCACTCAAATTGGTTCGGGTTCTGAGGAGTCCATGTAAGTCTCCGAGCGATAGAGCCATGAGCACATTTTTACCCCAATATTTGCAAGGGCGGGGAGGGAGTTGGGGGCGGGGGCGGGGGTGCACTCCAAGTCGTGCATGCCGTAGTCGTTAGACCATTGACCTCGCATCCCTAAGAAGTCGGGACGGAGCACGCCGGGTTCCCACTGGACCAGGCTCTCATATCACCAAGCGCAAAGTACCGTGAAGTATTCAGCGAGTCGCATGAAGGGTGCGCTGCAGCCTGCTATTGTAAGGGTGTTCGCCATCTTGTGCTCATTTCCTTGCGAACGGATGACAGCTGCATACGACTTTCACTTCCAGAGACAGTTATAAGCACTATGTAATGGCGGGGGGGGGGGGGGG